TTATAGTTTCCTTTGTTGTGCAAAAGCTTTTAAGTTTCATTAGGTCCCATTTGTTTATTTTTGCTTTTATTTCCAATATTCTGGGAGGTGGGTCATAGAGGATCCTGCTGTGATTTATGTCAGAGAGTGTTTTGCCTATGTTCTCCTCTAGGAGTTTTATAGTTTCTGGTCTTACATTTAGATCTTTAATCCATTTTGAGTTTATGTGATGTTACTTTTTATCACATGGTGGTCAAGACTGATCTCTGCACTACTGTTTCCTTGTAAGTAATAAGTAGTCTATAAAATAGTACTTTTACACCATGCAAATATTCTGCTCCTGAACAAAATTTCCAAGATTTAGCATCAACTGGTGATTCTTAATTGATTTAGCCTTTGATTCCTGATGCCTGCAAAATGCTAATTTTCCAATTTCATCACTCCCTGCATATATATTTATCAGTTGCCACTGATTTATTTTTCAGTTTATTGTAAGACTTCATGAAAGGTTTTTTTCTGTTAAGTCCTGGATTTTTAAAATCCAAAGCTGTTGGTTTTCTTGAGGAATAATTTACATGCCACACAACTTACTCATTTAACAGAAGTTTTAGTAAATTCACACAGTAGTACAATTATCACCATAGTCATACTTTATAATGCTTCCATCACCCCAAAAAAGTTTTCTCATGCCCCTTTGTAGTAAATCCTCACTCCCACCCCTGACTTGGGCATCAAAGATCTGTTTTCTGTCTAATTGTCCCTAATCTGGAAATTTCATAGAGATGTCTTTTTTATGTGGTTTCTTTCACTTAATGTAATATTTCCAAGATTCATCCTTATAGTTGCATCTATCAGTAAGTAGTTTTTACTACAGTGTGTGTACACTCAGTTGTGTCCAACTCTCTGCAACCCTATGAACTGTGTGGCCCACCAAGCTCCTCTGTCCATGGGATTTCTGAGGCAAGAACACTGGAGTGGGTTGCCATTTCCTCCTCCAGGGGGTCTTCCCAACCCAGGGATCGAACCCACGTCTCCTGTGTCTCCTACATGGCAGGTAGATAGCATCCAATTATATGGAAATGTTTTTTATCTATTCATACCTTGCTAGACAATTGAGTTGTTTCCATTTGAAAGCTTGCTTAGGAATAATGCTATGAATATCTGTATAGAGGCTTTTATGTGTTTTCAACTCTGTTCGATAAAAACCTAGGAGTGGAATTGCTGAGTCATCTGTAACTCTGTTTTAACATTTTGAGAAACTGTTCCCCTCATTCCAACCAGCAGTGTATGAGAGGTGCAATTGCTATACATCCTCGCTAACGCTTGGTACGTTCAGTCATTTCGACAGTCGTTCTAGTGGGTATGCTGGGCTCCCCTGGTGGCTCAGCAGGTAAAGAATCCACCTGAAATTCAGGAGATCCAGGTTCAATCCCTGGGTTGGGAAGATCCCCTAGAGAATAGAACAGCTACCCATTCCAGTATTCTGGCCTGGATAATTCCATGGGCTATATAGTCCATGAGATCACAAGGAGTTGCACACGACTGAGCGACTTTCACTTCACTAGTGGGTATGTTAAAGCTTCTCACTGTGGCTTTAATTTCCATGTCTCTAATGACTATGATGTTGAACATCTTTTCACGTCCTTATTCGTATATCCATAGATATAACCATTGGCCCAAAGCCTTCAAATCTTCAGGCCCATTTTTAAAATGAAATTGTTTTCTTATTGAAATGCAAGAAACAAACAAAAAAACTTTCATATAAGCTAGATACAAGTCCTTCATCAAACACATTTTGTAAATATTTTCTCCCAGTCCGCAGTTTGTTTTCAAATTTTTTTAATGTCTTCTTTTCTTAATACTTTATTTTTTACAGCAGTTTTAGGTTCACAGCAAAATGGAGCATAAGGTACAGGTTTCCCTTATATCCTCTGTCCTGACTCATGCAATCTCTCATCCACTATCAATATCTTCTACCAGAATGGCACATGTTACAACCAATGAATCTATACTGACACATCTTACCACCTTCAGTCCATAGTTTACATCAGGGTTCATTCTTGGTGCTGTGCATTCTATGGGTCTGGACATATGTATAATGACACGGATCTACCTTTACTGGATCATATAGAGTAGTTTCACTGCCCTAAAGTAGTCTGTATTCCACCTTTTCATTTCTCCCTCCTCTCCAGTCACTGTCAACTGCTGATATTTTTACTGTCTCCATAGTTCTGCCTTTTCCAGAATGTCATATGGTTGTAAACACACACTATGTAGCCTATTCAGACTGGCTTCCCTCACTTACTATTACATACTACTAAGGTTTCTCATTGTCTTTTCACAGCTTTTCAGCTCATCTCTTTATAGCACTGAAAAGTATTCCAGTGTCTGGATATACCACAGTTTATCCATTCCTTCATCCCACACTCAAGGCTAGCATGGCTGCTTTCAGATTTTGACAATTATAAATAAAGGACCTATCAACACATGCAGTGATGTCTTCCAACCAGCAAACGTTTTTAAACTTTATGAAGTATAATTTATCGTCAATTTTTAATCAACTGTTTGTGTCTTTTGCGTCATATGTAAGAAACTTTAACCTAACCTGAGTTCACAAATATTTTCTTCTATGTTTCCAAATCCTAAAAGATGATGCTGCTAAAGTGCTGCAGTCAGTATGCCAGCACTCATAATGCCAGCAAATTTGGAAAAATCAGAATGGCCACAGGACTGGAAAGGTGAGTCTTCACTCCAACCCCAAAGAAAGGCAACACCAAAGAATGTTCAAATTACAACTGCACTCATTTCATGTTAGAAAGATTATGCTCAAAATCCTACAAGCTAGGTTTCAACAGTACGTGAACGGAGAACTTACAGATGTACAAGCCAGATTTAGGAAAGGCAGAGAAACGAGAAACCAAATTGTCAATATAGGTTGAATCACAGAAAAACCAAAGGAATTCCAAAAAACATCTACTCTGCTTCATTGACTATACTAAAGCCTTTGACTGTGTGGATCACAACAAAGTATGGAATATTATTAAACAGACAGGAATACCAGACCACCTTACCTGCCACCTGAGAAATCTGTATGCAGGTCAAGAAGCAATAGCGAAGCCTGGCATGCGCCAGTTCATGGGGTTACAAAGAGTCGGACACGACTTAATGACTGAACATGATGTTTTCTTTTAGAAGTTTTATAACCACCTCTCTTACGTGTATTATTTCTTAAATCTTATACCTATAATCCACTTCAAATGTTTAAGGTAAGGGTCACCAATGTTCAATTATATGCATCTGAATATAAATTCCAGCACCAGTTTCTGAAAAAACTATCTTTTTCTCACTGAAATTAATCTATTTTTAAATAAATCTTTGAAAAACCCACAAAAATTAATGACTAATTCAATGTGTGGCAAGAAA